CCTGTCCTGAAACCAACGGCCCCCCTTTATGGAATCCTGACAGCCCTACACCATAACCCCAGACCCTATATGACCCTTAAGGGTTCCGGTAAGGGATCTATACGGGAGTTTCCGAAAATTAGGGGTACCATATTCGGGTCCGCTATTTTCGGAAACCCCCGTACTGGTTCCTTCCAGGGGTTTCCAGGGGATCCTTTCAGGCACTCCAGAAAAGCACACACACACACACACACACACATGAGGCGCTTGAAGGCACGCCGCGCCAGCGCCGCGACTTGGCTCTTCTTACTAGGCCAAGTGTCGGGATTCGGGTTTAGGGTAGAAGTTCAGGGCTTATAGAGCCTAAGGTTTAGGGGGTATGCATTGCCCACAGGCCACCAGCGTTGTGGCGCGCGCAACCTGCGCACCAAATCTAGAGCTTGGCGGGTTTAAGGTATACCCCTAAACCCTAAACCGTTAAAAAGCATCCAAACGCGCCAGAGGATGGTTCGCGGGTTCCCCAGGTTGCTTTGCTGGGTTGTGCATGCAGGTAGCGACTGGTGGAGAGGCAGCTTACAGTAATTAAGCCTTGCAGTGTCGATCTACAGGGTATATATGGGAGTTTCCGAGAATTGGGGGTACCTTTTTGGGGGTCCCTTTCATAAGGATCCTACTATTTAGGGTACTATATTAGGGTCCCCTATTTTCGGAAACTCCCATATATATATATATATATATATATATATATATATATATATATATATATATATGGGTAGTTCTCCAAATTAGGGTCCTTTTTAGGGTCCTTTCAATAAGGGTGCCTTTGTATTTTGGGGATCTGAGAAGGGATCCCAATTTAGAGAACTACCCACATGTTGCTTTCTGGCTCCGGTACCAAAACGTGGCTTGCAAGAGCTGGTGGCTTGTATGCCAGGGTCTGCTAGAGCTCAGGTACTAGAATACCTCTTGCACGATCTCAAGGTTTGTTTGCGGGGGTTTGTTTCAGCTGCTAGGACAATCAATCCAAAGTTCTAGGTGTACCTTGGATAAGAGGAAAACAGCATTGGAGTAGGCCATAAAGGAGGTCTGGGTCACGGAGCTAGACAGTTTCTGTGCCGGTGCTGGTTCAAGCACCGGACAGACCTGTCATATTCATATGGGTGGTTGTCAAAATTAGGCTCCCTGTATTTTCGGGTCCTTATTCTAATACGGCACCTAATATTCAGGGTACCTAAAAAGGTACCATAATTTTGACAACCACCCATATGTGGGGGTGCCGGTTCAAGTGCCAGAATATGGCCTGCAGGATCTGCAGGTTCGTGCCAAGGGGTGCTGCCTCATTGTCAGTGGGGTGCTGGCTCATGTACCAGAAGATGGTTTGTACGATGTATTGCTTTTTTCTTGGAGTAAAAGGTGGTTGTCATGAGGTATGATGGAATGTGTATGTACATACTTTCAGCTATCTACCTGTCTATCCATGTTTATGTATATATATATATATATAGAAGGAGAAAGTCGGCGATTTCCATTCCTTCTGAGTGTAGCTTCAACTATATAAGCTATACAAGAACCCAGGAGAGTGTGCAGCCGGTGTCCAGCATTCCGACTCAGCCTCTTGTCAGACCTCTGCGGCAGTTTTTGAGTACTAGGCATTCGAACTTTGGTTAGATGAGTGTTTGGCATTCAGGGTTTAGGGTTCCGGGATTTTGCGCCTGGGGATTCAGGACGTTGTGCTAGGGTTTGGAGTTTAAGGGCTGGGAGGTTCGGATGAATGGAGACCCAGGGTCGTGCTTTCGGTTTCGACATATTTACACGGTGGGGATTTGGTGTTTGTCCGAGGCTTCCACGTTATGGGCTTCGAGGTGTTTGGTAGGTTGGAAGGCTTGGAGCGTGCTGCAATGGACTCTTGCAGGGTTCGCGTGGCTTTGCAGCCTCAACATAGGGGCCTTAATGATTACCTACACTTTTTTTGTTGGGGGGAACCCTCTTCTAATTATTAAGGCCCCTGTGTTGGGGAGTTTCCTGTTGGTGGCGCGGTATGGCCAGCCGAGAGTCGGAAGTCTTAAGCTGCAGCTCCCCTCTGAGCTGCAGCAAGTAACCTAGTAGTAGAGTAGGTATCCTTTAACATTTTTGGGTAGTATAGTCCCTATATAAGCCCTATATAACCAAAAGGTTAACCTTCAGTTCCCCATGATACCCGACAAGTAGGAAAGATTACAGGGCTTCAGGTACACGGGCTTTTAATTGGCACCGACCAGACGTGACTAGACTACCATCATGACTCTGACCATTGCAACCCCGAGACCCAAAATCCGCAAAGTCAATCACCACCCAGTTTGCAGAGCCCACGGTAATATACGATCCTATACTATCTTTGGGGGGGGGGGGTGTCCTTATTTATAATGTAGTATCATGGTCCCCGAAACCCTATTCTAGCTATTAATTATGGCCCCTTATGGTATATAGATCCGACCCCTGCGGGGCTCCAAGCCTAGGCAGCAGTTTCAGATGCGGGAAGGCTTCATGGAGGACGAACGAATGAAAGTGCCATTAGTTAGACACCAACTCTGAAATGCAGCTGCGATGATGTCGGTGGTGACGAAGATGAGAGAAGTTGTGAGGATGGCCGTCATAGGCATCATCAGAACATGGTTGTGAGCAGGCTGCTAAAGATGATGATGTTGTTGTGGCGTTGCCGTGACAGCTACACTACAGGTATCGTTGCAGGTCGAAGAAGCTCAAGATTGGGGCGGGGATCGCATTCGATTCTCATTGCAACACTTACTCACGCGCAAGTGCATGCATGTCCAGACCTGCTCACGCACAAGAGCCCATGATAAGCCCGTAGAGTTCCTACAACAGTTATGTCAGCTGACTGTTTGTAATCACTAAACCGTCTAACTACGAACCTCATTACAACTTTATACGGCCCTTTAAACCCTGTGACCATCCTACTTGAAAGGGCAGGGGGCTTAGTAAGTAGGTTATAAGTAGAGTTATAAGTACCCTAAATGGAGTTACCCCAATTATAACCCTACTTATAACCTACTTACTAAGTCCCCTGCCCTTCCAAGTAGTGAAATATTTCAGGATCCTATAGACTGAAAAATAACCAACCTGAAATCCTCCTCAGGCCCTACAAAGCTCGACTACTACAAGGGCCTTTATAAATTGCCCACCATCTTTTATAACCATAGTATGATTTACGCCACAACCCTATTCTAGCTATTAAGGCCCATATTTTAAAGGATCCCTGTTCTAATTATTAAGGCCCCGATGTTATGTTTGTTAAACGTGGCAGGAGCTTCTCGCCAGACAAAACTCTTGCACAGCGGACGAGCTGCCGCTCAGTTTCAGGGTTGTTTGGCTTGAAGGTTTTGTGGGTTTAGGGTTTAGGGCATCAAGGTTGAGGGTCTAGGAGGCTTTAGGGTTTCGGGCTTGGGGGGTTCCTTTTAGGGCCCTTTAATAGAGCCCTAATGGCCCTTAATAGTGGGTATTTGGGGTATTTTAGAAGGTAGTTGGAGGGTCTAGGAGGCTTTGGGGTTTAGGGTTTTGGGCTTGGGGGGTTTATGGTTTGGGTTCGGGTTTCGGGCATTTCTCTGTCTGTCGTCCTCGGCTTCGAAAAGCTGAGCTTGGAGATCGCTGCCAAGTGTTGAATTACTGGGCTCTTGTTAAGGAGCTTTATTTTTGGTACCATCATAAGGATCTATAGTAAATCCAGAAGGTTTCCTTAGTACGGTAACTTAAACTCCTTAAAGAGAACCCAGATTAGGGTTTGGGGCAAGGGTTTAGGCGCAAGCTGCCAGATATCCGGTGGCGAAACGCACGCGAAGCTCTACTTACATAGGGAAATGTAGGGACTGTAACGATACTAATTATCCCACTTCTGTTGTGGACAGGCATTTGGGAGTTCAGGGTTTAGGATTTATGGCAAGTAAGGTGATGAAGGGTCGAAGACCCTTGGTTGAGTAAGGGTTTCCAAACACCTGCGTACCAGTAGCTCGACTTCTTGGTAGTTCAATTCTAGGCAACGCCTACATCACCATTTTACCCACCAAAACCTTAACCCAAATGTAAATCCCAAACCCTGAAGCCCAAGGCCTAAGATGAACCCCCGGCTCCACCTAATAGGTATTCCGACTGTAGCCGGGAGGAAAAGGGCCTTCAAAATTCAAAAAAAAAGGGCCTAAGATGAATCCTAAGTTAAGGCGTCCATCTGAGCTTCAAGTGGGAATCCGAAGGCCGCACCCCCAAGCCTGAACCAAAGATCCCGACCCCCACAGGGCTAGTTTTCTTTTTGTGGTGATACTCCCATATAACACAGTAGTATTATGTAATTCTATGATGATATACCCGACAATCCCGTTCCAATCTCGTGCTTCCTCTGATATGTCTCAAGATATGTCATAGATCCTAAACCCTAAACCTTATACGGTCGGCAGGCTTTGAAGGAGCGATTGAGCAGATTAGGGTCCTGAGCACCACTCTTCGATTGCAAGCGGAGCGGTCCTCGTGTGGTCCTGGCAATCCTGGTATCCCTCAGGAGCTGCCCCCACCCTGTAATAGTGACCATAAGGATTATATAGGATTATATTAGGGCCCTATTATATTCCTATTATACCACTATTACAGGGTGGGGGCAGCTTCTAAGGTATCCCTGTCCTCGCGGTTGTCCTTTTTGCTCGCCCCTAAACCCTATAAAACCTTATCTGCGGGTGCAGACGGTGAGAGGTCTTTCACTCTTTGGGGTCTGCACCGTCATAGTCTTTAGAAGCCCCCCAAGTACGTTGTTCCCGAGAATCACTGGTGCGGAAGTTAGAAATCAGCTTGATTCCTGTGTGAACCGAAGATCCCCCCCAAAGCCCTCGTCTTATCCGAGGCCTCGAACCCTGAAGTTACATTCGAAATCACCTTTTCTGGAGCTCCAGGTGCCAAGAATTCCTAAATTGTCCACTAAACCCTAAACTCTACACCCTAAACCCCAAATCCTGAACCCTGATCCAAGGCTGGGGTTCGGAGCCATGCTGGAAATGATGCCTCCAGATGCCAAGAAGAAGCTGCAGGACACCGCGGAGGTTGAAACATCTTAGGGTTCCTGAGTCTTGGGAAATGCAAATGCCAAACCCTAGCTGTTCAGGGTTTAGGGTTCAGGATCTGGTAAACACGCATGTTACGGACGCCCGACTGCGAGTTTAGGGTTTAGGGTTGTGGTGTGGAGGTTGAGAGATTTGGGACTTCATCTCGGCACCAGAACGACAGTGAGATTAATCTTAAGAGATTCTTCTTTAGGGCGTATGATTTGGTGACCGAGGTTTCACAGATCTGGGGTTACAGGTGTAAAGGAGATAAAGTGGACAAAGACGAGATCAAGAATTGTCCTGGACCTTGGAAGTTGAGCCTCAAAAAGGTCATCTCCCAAACCCACAGAAATCGCTTAGGGTTTAGGGTTGAGGGTTTTACCCCTAAACCCTAAACCCTTAAGCCCTAAGCCTTAAACCCCAAACCCACATTTCGAGCAGCCTGTGAATTCAGGAGCAGTTTGGCCCGCTGGCTGTTCGTGAAGTCCCCAAGTTCCACATCCAGTTTCCAAAGCAGTGTGGTCTGCCTCTGGGCTAGTCCATGGTTGGGATAGTTTTAAAAATGATAATTTTTATTCCTTCTTGGGTTTAAGTAGCATATGTTACCCAAGTATGACTAAGTGGGTGGGCTTGGGGGATATTTTGTGTTTGCCCTTACTTGTACTAAGAGGGTCTGCCTAAACCCTAAGCCCCCAAACCCTGAAGACTAAAGAACATCTTCGGAGGCTTCAAAGTGCGAAAACCTAGGCCGGTATCGGATCCTGGATGCAGAAGGCAATGCCAACAGCTGCTGCAGCTTGGCAGTCGATTAGGATTTAGGGTTTTATGAGGGTGTTTTTTCTTGAGTCATGTTCGAGCCGTAGATATCTAACCTATGCTTCAACTCCTCCCGGAGACCTAAACGATACCCCTTCTCCGTGCCTCATCTGATCAAGGTTCCGATGCTTCAGTGGAGGTTTCCAACTTCGGAGCCACTATAGAGCTCTGAGGGTCCATGTACCCAGAATATATATATATATATATATTTATTTTTTTGGGAATGGGAGTACTTCAAGGCCAAAGTATCTGGGTGGTTGTGAAAATTATGGTCCTTTTTGGAAACCCTAAATATTAGGTGCCGTACTATATCAGGGGCCCAAAAAGGGACCAAACTTTTGACAAACACCCATATACTATCTGGGTACATGGACCCTTCAGTGGAAACTACTTGGCCGCGGAGGCAACGCAGAGCCCCAAAGCTCCGAACTCCAAGCACTTATGCACCCAAAGTCAAGCCCCGAGGCCCTAAACTTACCTTTGGAAAGTAGTCATAGAAGGCCAAAAGGGGTCTTAGCCTATGGGGGTTTAGTAGGGATTAGGGTTCCCATAATAGGGCTCATATTAAGGAATCCCTACCCAAGGAATCTTAAACCCCCCTTTTGGCCTCCCATCAAGTAGGGAATGGAGGAAAGGGGCACAAAAATAATTACTATTGCGAGCATGCTTCCATTCCCTACTAACCAAAGGTAAGAGAAGCCCTACGCCTTAGAACCCTAAACACTTCGACCCTATCACTCCACGAAACCTAGAACCCTAATGTAGGAACCTGATTAAGAAACCATGGGCCTATAACCCCCAAAATAATAGGGTTCATATAAGGAACCCTAATAAAGGGCCAGGGTTTCTTAATCAGGTTCCTACATTCAAAGGCCCGAAGCTTGAGATTCCTGAGCTTTCAGGCAAGAAGCCTATGCCAATGCGCTGACCTGTCCATGGATGTCCGAATGGGCGATGCAGACCGGTGAAATGCAGCGTCTTGGCTGTAACCAAGCCCTAACATAGGCGCCCCATTCATTCAAATAGGGTTTGGGGGTCTCTGTTTTCGTGCCCTAAGCAAGGAATAATAGTGGTAATTGTTTAGGCTTGTCCCCAAAACTCTCTTATGCAACAGTATCGAAATCTCGGCACCCGCTTCCAGGCAAGTAGCTGCAGGGTCCAGATCGCAAGCTGACATATTTGATTAGGGTCCTTTTAGGGCTCGCCTTGGCGTTTGGGGTTTAGGATAGAGATGGAAATGCCCTGCAACTTCCCGTCATTATCTCAAGTTCAGAACCGGCAAGAACCCTTTTACTGGCCAAGCCCCAAGAAACGGGTGCCAGGTAAGGGCACTCATCTGCTGAAGACATTGGTTCACAACTCGGAAACGACTCCTGAACCATTTACCTCAACTTTCTACTCCCTTATGATGCAACTCAAACCCTAAACCCTCGAATCTGCTGCCACACAGAAGAGCCCTCCAAGAAAAAGAAAACCCAGGAATTTTAAACCCAATGGGGCGGCCTGTGGCAGAGTCGTTAGACGACGAGATGACTTACTCTTAAAACTGAAACTTTAAAATCTTTGGGCTTATGAACTCGGCAACTTACGTCCTGTTGACTTGGCTCTCAAACCCCGAAACCCTAAACCCCGACACCCTGACGCCATGTCACAACCCCCAAACACGGGTATCTCCAATTATAAACACTTTTGGGGGCTTTTGACCCTTTCAGAACCCTAAACTAAACCCTAAGGTTTGACGAAGCCTCCCTGGTGAAGCGCTACAATGGGCTCCTGGGAGCGGAGTGGCATGCGAAGTGACTGGGACGGCTTCTTTGGGCACTTCTTCACGTGAGGGCTTAGGGAAGTCACGAGTGAGGCCTTTGGGCTCGTCTCCATGTGAGAGCTTAGGGAAGTTTAGGGTGTGGGGTTGGGGGTTTTTAGAGTTCAGTTGTGTTTGTTTGGTGCGTTAGAGCTTAAGCTGCTCCACCGAGATCTGCCAGAACCTACGCTTGTTCATGCTTCGCAGGGCTACCTTGGTTTCCACAGTAAACAGGGTGGTTTGTTTATGTTCGAAGGCTTCTTCAGGCTGAATTCGATCTTCGTCTGTAGAACAAGGCTCCTGTCAGCTGAAATTTTTGGGGCAGATAGAAGCGGTTTTGAATTTTTGGTTCCTCTCCTCTTTAAGAAACAGCTAGAATAATATTTCTATGCTGGGGGTCTAAGTTCAGTATAGAAACCCCATATCTAAGACCGGCTTTTGTCGGAAGGGCTCGCCCAGCACGGATAGCTGCACGTGCGGACACCTGCATGAAACACTTACCCTAAGGGTCCAAAGGACCCAATTACAATTGGGTACTCGGTCTTAGGATAATTGGTATGTAGGTTTGTATTTTGGAGAGTATATGATTATTTGGTACTTGAACCCTTGGAGTTATGTGGTACACGAATTATGTGCTAAACGTCCTACTTCTTCACAAGCTCGCCTAGCATCACACGCCTGGTGGGTTGCTCTTGGGCTTTACGCTTTACGTGCTTAAGGATTTGGACTTACATAGGGCTGGCTTTACGGGTTTGCGGTCCTGGCATCTCTACGTTAGGTCACAAGGAACAGGACTATAAAAAGAGGCTTGCCCGAAACCTCGAAACTTAAGCAGCTGCTCCGTCCGATTCAGCCAAATCCTCGCGAGCCCTAAAACCCTAAACCCCTAAACCCCTAAACCCCTAAATCCTAAACCCTAAACCCCTAAACCCCTTAACCCCTAGTCAGGCACCCACATCTGAAGCCAGGAAGCATCATCAGGCCCGGAATCTTGGCTTTGGGATCTGAGCCCGAAGGACACACCCCCCTTCGTTTCTTCACCCGAAGCCCGTTGAGGTTTGGGGAGTATGGTTCAGGGATTGGGGTTTAGGGCTTTGGGCTTCTTTGGTGATTCTTTGGGATCGAAACCTTTGTGTTTTCAGCGATCCTGCTGGCCTTTTCGACCAGGGCACGTGAAGAGATGGAGAAGCAGCGGTACTCGGAGCTCATTCGCACGAGCTTCTGCAACCATGCTTGCAGGCAAGGGCCATAAGTGTTGCATGTCTTCACACATCTTTCTGTCGCTGGTGTATCAAGATTGCTATGTGTTCAAGGTTACTCTTGTCAGCTTTATTAGTATTGATATCCTGGTATTAAAATAGGGATCTAAGTCCCTGGTGCTCATTTTCCCCCTCGTAGCAGTCTACACTACTGGCTGAGTTACTTTCAAGTCTTTGCACCCAAACACCCCTAAAACCTCAACCCCTAAACCTCGAAGACTAAACCCCAAAACCCAGCAGGGCTTCCGAAGAGGGCGCTGAGAGGGCTTCCGCGCTTGAAGCTCTGCTTCGGATGAGTGCTGAAGTTCAGGGTTTTTAGGGCATTCGGGCTTTGGGGGGGGTCTAAGCTGCTATAGGGTCTAGAAATTTGGGGTTTAGGTATAAGGGCTTTGAGGTTTTAAGGTTTTGGGGATGTAAACTTTAGGGTTTGAGGGTTTAGGGCTTCGGGGGTTTAGGCTTCAGGGATTCGTGGGTTTAAACTTTAGGATGGTTGAGGGCTCTGGGTCTTATGCTTCACCTTTTTGGGGGTATAGGATTTCGGCAGTTTGAGTGCATCAACTTTAGGGCTTTAGCAGGGCTGTATAGTGTCGTTGAAGAGCGCTCGGCCCTGAAAAATCCAAACCGCACAGGCCGGCGGGAGAATCCTTGAGCCCTAAACTTCAATCCCATAAACCCTAGACCCCTCAACCTTAAAGCCGAACCCTAAACCTTAAGACCTCAAGCCATAAACCCCCAAGACTACCTTATACCCTGGACCTTAAACCTTAAGCCTTAACCCCTAAAGTACCTTAAACCCTAAACCCTGGACCTTAAGCCTTAACCTTCAGCCTCAAGCCCCAAAGTACCCAGACCAAAAGCCTGAATCCTACATCTCTGAAGTACCTTAAACCCTAAAGGGAACTCCAGAAAGTTGGAATATGGATTAATGGTAGGATCCCCTATAATTTACCATAAAGGGTTTACGATAATGATATTCCAACTTTCTGGCTTCTACTCTTAAACCTTAACAACTTAACCCCAAAAGTATGTAGAATAATAGCCTTTTATGGGTTTTGGGCCATTATTTTACCTACTTTGGGGGGTCTAGGTAACAACTTAAGCCTGAAACTGCAGGCGGGAGATCCTTCACAAAGGCACGACGCACGTGGCCGTTGGCTTCAACGACCTCGGGCTTCTGCTGCTGGTTCCTTTTTAAAGGGTTTCAGGGTTTCTATACAGTTGAGGGGTTTGTGAAAAGATGGTTCAGGGTTTTCGACGGGTTTAGGGTGTTTAAAAGTTTTGGGTCTAGGGCTTAGTGCTTTCAGGGTTCAGTCGTTTAGGGGTTAAGGGTTTAGGCTTTTAGGGGTTAGGGGTATGGGGTTGAGGGTGCGTCTCGCGAACGTTTCATGTCAGTTAAGTATGCTTTGAGGTTCAGGGTCTTTCGGTTTTGGCTTTGAAGCTTGTTAGGCCCTCAATATACGGGGCCGTAAGGATTAGAAGACTGTCTGGCGATATGTTATGTCATTAGTGTAATGTGCCAAGGAACCCTACGAAAATTTGACTCGCACGTATTCAGACTTTAGGATTTTTGCTGCATTAAGTTTCAGTGCGTTCTACGACAATGAATGAGCACTGGCATTGGGTTGGACGAAACCTTAACCAGGCTGTTCAGTGGTGCACTTTTTTACTTTCAGGTTTCTGGGTTCCTATTATAAAATAAGAAGCCTAAAAAAGTATATACTTTCTCCCAGTGGGTTACTGAACAGCCTAGTTAAACCCTCATAGCAGAAAACGACTGCATGACTCCTGAACGCAAAGACGAAGGATGGCAACACAAGGCAGCGCAGCCACAGGCTCGAACATCGAGAAGCGAGAGCTTGAACCCTAAACGGCCCTAAACCCAAATTATGCAGACTCCGAAAAACCCATATAGTACCTTCTTCAGGATATGTATATGTATATATATATATATATATGTATATGTGTATAGATATATATATATATATATGTATATATATATATGTATATATATACATATATATATATATATATATATATATATACATCATCATCATCGGAAGCCCTGAAAACGAAGGGTGTATTGGGTCCAGGTATACCCTCAGCCCCTAAACCCCTTAGCTCTAAACCGTGCTTGTGCATTCTTCAGCCAGGTTGTCCTGCGAGATGCGGGATGAGCCTTCGAAGGCCATCCACTGGAGCTTTAATATTTAAAGTATATGAACTATGAAAATTGTTTAATTATTTAATGATTGATATAATTTAAACAATTTGAACCCAAAGCCAAAACCGCAGCGGATTTGGGGGTGTAAGGTCTACTAGGAGCTCGGATTTCGGGTCTTGTGTATTGGATCTGCAGCTGTGGGCTTGTTACGGTTGGACAGTAAATCTTGGTGAGGTTTGGGAGTGCGGGGTGTGCCTTGAGCTCTTGACCTGCTTCTGCTGTAGAAGTGGTGGGGCTAGCAGTCAAGTAAACCGTTTGGGGGTGGCGGGCCTACTTATGGCTTCGGCATGGCAGGGAGCTTTGAGTTTGCGGTGTCTGAGGTTGAAGATGTATGCTACAAATCCTTAACCCCTGAACTCTTTAAGCCGCCAACCCTTAACTTGCAGACCCAACTCCCTCAGCAAAGAACCCGTAAACACTTCGGCAACTTCACAAACCCGAAAGATCCACCCCAGATCAGACAACCGTTCCTTAAACCCAAACTCTAAACCCTGGAGCGTTGGGCCTTGAGCTTAATCCTTTCACGACCCTGAAGAACATGCTGGGGCCATTGCGCTTCATCGGCTTGGATGCCAGCGCATACTCCGTGGCCAAGACCAAGGCTTAGCCCTTTTTTTGTTTGTCTTTTTCTGCGGTGCGTTAGAGTCCGGCTCCGAATATTTCCCTAACGGTTGAAGTGCTCACGATAATGAATGGTAAGGTGTGTGGGTTTAGGATGGCAAGGTGCTTCGTGAGCCTTTTTAGGGAGTAAGATCCCGGACCCTAGCCCCCAAAGCCCAAACCCTCCCCCAGAAAGCCCAAGACCCTCTTAGGAGCCTTAGGTTAGGGTAGAGCCATGATAGCACCACGGAGCTCGTAGGGTCTAGGGCCAAGCAGTTCGCCAAACAGGGTTGATGCACTCAGACAAAACACCCAAGCCCTAAACCCCAGTCCCCAACGTAAGGATCCCTCGAAACAAGATCCCTGCGCCCACGAAACACGCTTATTTTAGCATGTATTCTGGCCATTGAGACTTGACGTGTCCTGAAACCATCGAGACCTCACAAATCCCAGACACAACCACCGTAACTTGCACCCCCAAGGCCGTGTACTAAACCCTAAACCCCTGCATAAAACCTAAACAAACTGCTAGGCCCCTGATGCAAAAGAACTGAAACCGACAAATGAGCAAAACGCTCCGCCAGGTAGTTGCAGAGATGCTGAAGCGCGACATACCACTGAACCACGTTCTCCAGGTGTGGTTCTCCTCCACCTGCAGCAACTTTGCGAAACTAAAGGATGGTGGCCCTAGACCGTAATCTTGTAGGGTTTGCGGAGAGTTTACGGAGATTCGCGTCTTAGAAGCTTATCCAATTACCTCCACTTCCTGGTTTAGTGGTGTAGGGCCTGTCTTGTCAACGCTCTCACTTTTGATCTGTGGGCGGTAGTCTAGGAGTTTAGGGTTTACGGTGACCCCCGAAGTAGGAATGCTGAGAGTGAAACTACAGCATCCTGGAACGGTCTTCAACTCTCCGTCCCTAAACTTTAGGGTTTAGGGTTTAAGGCTTAGTAGCCCATTCACCCTGAGCCCTATCTAAACCGTGCCCAGAATGCTTACTAATGGAGAAAAGGTTCGAGACCAAAAGAACGGACCGTACACCACGATGACCTTCCAAAATCCCTTAATTAAGGGATATACCGTAAATTATGATAGGGTTCCTAATATGATGTAAGGTATATTGCTTAATTAAGGGATTTTGGAAGGTCTGGGCACGATGACCTACTTTTTTGTAGGTTGTGATTATGTGCTCCTAATCTTCAACGTGAGAGACGCTAAACCGCAAGACCCCTTAAGATTTAAGGTATGTTCCTGAATCGAAGAGTAGCGGGCTCTGCGGGAAAGGATGAGCTCGCGTCCCGTGCTCCTCAGCGATCCTACAATCTAAATGCTAAACCCTTAAACCCTAAAATTTTAAACCCTATTAAGTCGGAATGGCAGCCAGAGGCTTAGGCCCGAAGGTCCCCATCTCTACATGCTAAGCTGTAAGCATCTCTCTACAGGATGTTTAGGGTTTGGGGTTTAGGGCGTTAGGGTCGGGTTTAGGGTGGGATTCTAAACCCTAGCCCTATCCCTGAAGCCAAAGGCCTGTTGAGTAACACTTCGAGGCAAAGCAGCTGCGCGAAACTTTGCCGACGCGGCAAAGGCCGTGGCCAGAAACGTTGACCATCAGCAAGTGTGGCTTGGATGAGTTTGGAAACCAGGCTCGAGAGGGTTCAGAACAGGTTGTTGTGGAGCTCAAATGCCTTAAACCCTAAAATCCTAAACCCGAAAACTACAAACCCTAAACCCTGAACTCTGCCCAGGAAGTCCTTCCTATCCCACTGGGTCGCTTGCGCAAATGTGCCGCTGCTCGAAGCCCGCAAACTGTGGCTGGCGACAAGAGAAGGTCCTTCCCAGAGACTCCAATATCCCTTAAATAAGGGATATACCTGGGGGTTCCTTGACGGATCCATAGGGGTTCTACAAGGGATTCAAGGAATATACATAAAGGTACAGTAGGATCCTTAGTATGATTTAAGGAGTATTCCTTATTTAAAGGGATATCGGAGGCCCTAGGCCTTTGATGTGGGGGCTGGGCAACTAAAAAGGGAAAATTGGGTTCAGGGTTTTAGGGCTTAGGATCCAGGCTTCCAGGCTTTTAGCGCTTGGTGTTTATGGGGCTAGGCAACTAAAAAGGGAACACGCCTTGTGGCGATTCTTGGGACAGGTGTTTCGGTGATCAGAATTTGAAAGAGATCAGAACAACCGCGAGCATAGGTTCCCGTTAATTAGGGGGAATTACACTGAACATAGGTTCCTTTGCATTCCCTCGCAAGGACCTAAGCCCCTATATAAACCCGTAAACCCTAATTAAACCCTTACGACAAGAGATCCCGAAGTGGCCCCAGACGGGCAGGCCGCAATGGAACGGACATCACATCAATGAAACTTGGCCAGGATTTGGCTTTTACGGTGTGCGGGAAGTGCTCGTGGTCTGTGGTGTTCTCAGGAACGTCAAAACGTTAGATGAAGGTAGGGAGGATTCAGGATTTCTTGTTCGGGGTTTCATCCCCAGGACTCGCATATCAACCTCCATCTTTGGGGCATGTTTGGGCCACCCGCCTTGCTGTAGCGGTGTTCGAAGCTTCCACCCGGCGGGTTTGCCCCTGCCGACCAACCCAACCTGTGGACCCAAACCCCAAAACAGAAGGCTCTAGCCGCATATTCTTAGGGGTTACACCCCCAAAAACCCTAAACCGTAAACCCTGAACCCTAAACCGCTAAACCCCTAAATGATCAAGTGGCGTTGACTCTGAGGAAGCGGGAGAAGGACCAGCTTCGGATGTGCCAGTACTTCCTCACGGGGGACGTCTCTCGGTGGCAAGCCCTGATGCATGTTCCATAGGGGAGTTTCCAAACAAGGGGGGTACCTGATTTTGGGATCCTTACAATGAGGATCCTCCTATTGAGGGTAATTACTATATTGGGGTGCCCTATTTCCGGAAACTACCATATCGTTACTTATTTGTGCATAGACCTGTGGCCCCGTGCAGGAAGCTTTGGACAGGTTTTGAGCGTGTCCTCATGGTTGTTGTATGAATGTACCTAGTTTGAAAGTCTTGTGCCAATGTTAAGTGCGACCCAAGTTTGCGATTCATAGCGCCCAGACGCTAAACCGTGAAATTTCACTCTAGCGCTGAACCCTGAGCCCGCGTTTTGGTTTCAGAGCACCTAAGCCCCAAGCCCGAAAGCCCTAAATGAAGTGTGATTTAGAGGGACCCCCCTAAGGGGGGATGGCAAATAGAGTTTGCCAGCAGAAACTGATGGTTGGATAGCAAGGCCTGCCAAGCATTGGCAAGAGCTGGCAAACCTTGGTAGCGCCTAGCAAGCCTTAGTAGTTTGGTTTGTTCGTGAGGCTTGCAAAGCCTTGCTAAGGCCTAGTAAGAACTACATAGCACACCGAGGCGCGACGTTGGTCTTGAGCGTTCGTGAGCACTAGTTTAGTACAGTTTAGCAGAGCTCTGCGAAGCTTGTACTGCTGAGCGCTAGTGAGCGCCAGTAGGGACTGCTGAGCGCTAGTGAGTGCTGGTGAGGCCATGTCAGTTTACGCCGGGGTAAACAGAGTTTCAAGGTTGCCTCCAAACCAACTATCCTCAGAAACCTTTGCTAGCAAACGCCGTTTGCCATCCCCCCTCAGGAGGGTCCCTCTAAATCATAAGCCACTAAACCCTCCGCCCAAGGTTTGCGACTCAGAGCACCTTCAACCCCAAAGCACTACACCAAACCCTAAGCTGAGGTTTTCGATTCAGAGCAACCTGAAGTGGGAAATCCCTCGATGTGGTCGGTGCCGGATGGTTCGCCGCCAATCGCGCGGGGCGAGAGCGCTTTCAATGCCGTTGATGTTGCTAGGTAGGCCATTGGGATGTGTACCGTTTTCCATTACCGTGCTTACCATGATCTTGTGTAATTAATTACGTACACATTTCAGAGGTTTGTGGCCAGCCTAGGTTGATGATTTGGTTGAAGGGCCGAAGAAGGATAACATCGCGAAGTGTTTGGTGAAGGTGCTGCTGCAAAGGCTACAGCGTCTGCGCGAATCGATACAGAAGGGCCTCATCAGAGTCGAGCTGCTGTGTGAGTTTGTTGAAGCAGATGCCCCTATTGCAAAGTGGATTGCCGAGCAACGGCCATGGACAATGCCACTTCGATTCAATATTCCTAGTTCAGTTCTCTAAGTTCCCAGGGTTTAGGGTTTCCCATTCATGAAGGAACAAAGCTGCCAAGAGTTCGCGTAGAAGAGGCTTGATCATATGATTCTAGAAAAATTGCTGGACGCCTCTTAACCTTCAACCCTACCTTAACCCCAAATAGCCTACCTTTTTCAGGCCTTATATAAAGAAATCATATTAGGGAACCCCCAAAAAAGGTAGGTTCCTCAGGGTCCAGGTAAGCCCCCAAACAATCCTCAGCCCGGAACTTGATACTACCCTCGAAATAATTAAGGAGTGTTCGCGATTTGAAGATGTTGGGCTCTGTGGTTAGCCAGCTCATGCGCCAAGGTCTACCGGACATTTTCTTGAAATAATCCAAAAAGAAACGAATGCGTAGTTTGGATTTTAGGGTTTATCTCTGAACCGCAACCCAACCAGCCTGAACCCTATATCGCCCACGTCCGAAATCCCGAAGCTGGCTGTGCCTTAGGAATCAAATGCAATCCTAGTATCAGCCCAGAATAACATTATGGTTTCTTGGTTTTGGGCCAAAGCCTAAACCCTAAACCCTAAGGGGGACTTATGGGACGATTTAGGGAGTTTCGGCCAGCCGGGTAAAAGCTGAAACAACGACCCTCAAACCTCAAAAGCCTAAAGCAAAACAGTTAGATTCATGCAACCTTTAACTTAACCCTAAACTCTAAACCCTAATCCCTGAACCCTCAACCTTCAAGAGCAGGATAAATAGAAACTGTGTGAATTTCGCTTCGAATTGCATGTTCATTAATTTCGAATGTCCATTGAACTAAATGTGTGGGAAGAGATCCCAGCCCAATTCCGAGCCAATATCCACGCACCTCAGCCCAGCCCCAGCCCCCAACCCAGGCCCCAAACCCTATACAATTTCTATTTACCTAAGCCCTCTATAAGCCTAAACTCCTAAACCCTGAAGCCCTCAACCCTAAACCCTAAACCCTGAACCTTAAGCCCTCCAGACTTCGACAGAAGAACCCCAACAACTGAAATCCTGGAGCCGACTCTGCGCTTCAGTCATTGCGCACGCGCCCAGAGAGAACCCAATACCCCTTACCTTAGGGGTACTTAGAAAAATATTTTTTTGATTTTTGGTTATTATATTCCCGAAGAAACAGCTAAAGTTATAATTTTTGCTAGGGTTCTAAGTTCAGTATAGTTACCTTTGTCGTAGTTGGGTAATAGTCGGGTAACATTTTGCATTTTTATGGGTACTTAAACCCAATAAGGAATTAAAATGTACATGCTTAATCCTATCCCAACAATGATCCAGTTACTGCCGTACTTCAGGAATGTGCCTCTTCTCATTGTAGATTCCTCATTAAGCGGCATTGGGGTCTTTTGGTGTGAACGTGGGCAGGGGTTTGGGTTTAGGGCTTATACCACTCCCAAAGCTGACCGGAAATGTGAGTGAACATTGCCCGGATGGTTTTAGTCCCGAGGGTGGCTCAGCAAGAGAATCCGAAACCCTCTAAGCCCTCAACCCAGTTGCTAGTTAAGTGTTATATAGCCTTTCACCGTAGCCTTTAAACTATACTTGGGTGCTATGCCTACAGAATCTCAAAGGTCAGCCTCTCATGTTTTTAGGACACTGGGAGAAATAAGTAATGTAGGAACCTGATTAGGAAACCCTGTCTATAACCCCAAAATCATACGATTCATATAAGGAGCCCTAATAAAGGCCTAAGGTTCTTTAAATCCTACATTAATCAAGGTCATGGTCGAATGTGTTGGACTACATGGCGCCCGCCCATTTCCACAAGTTGGCAAGGGACTGCTCAGTTCACGGGGATACCGTACACTATGCCTACTCCATGATCCTAGCCACAGAATGGTGACAGTTTCTGTATACAGCTTTATCTTTCAAAGAGGCTTTTTCTTGGGTACCGATTGAGTGGATATTTACTCGGCATAATTAATTACCTTCGGCTGTGGGGTTGAAAGATGTTTTCATGAAGGATCAACCCAGGAACTGGATTGCAGAAGTAGTTGGCACCTGCATCCTGGATTACGCTGACCTTGGGCAGCGCAAGCAAATTATCGAGGCAGCTCACCAAACCTTGGATGAGACATCCAGGATAGCTCCTGCCGGAAGGTTGTTGCTGCTCCCGCCTCACGACAGCCCACTGAATACTACCGGCTATCTGCTGTCCATGGCGCTGCATAAGCAATGGACGAAGCAGCTGTGACGCACTCCGTTCATCCTTTCTCTTGCTGTGTCGTGGAATCTAAGTCTTCCGGAGTCTGCCCGGAAGGGTTGCTTTAAGTTCAGGGCTCCGCGGGTTTAGGGGTTAGGGGTTTAGGGTTTAGGGTTTAGGGTTTAGGGTCCGTCTAGAGGGCGCTCTTTCAACACCTCTTAGCAGTTTAGCAGTCTTGGCAAAGGCTTAAACCAATAGCGCAGACCCCCGAATAGAGAACGAGGCCCTGCTTGGAAGGGCAGGGGACTTAGTAAGTAGGTTATAAGTAGAGTTATAAGTACCCTAAATGGAGTTACCCCAATTATAACCCTACTTATAACCTACTTACTAAGTCCCTAAACCCTAAACCCCATAGATCTCTTTTAAGGAACCCTATAGATCCCTTTAAGGAGCCCTACTAAGTCCCCTGCCCTTCCCAGTAGTCGAAAGCATCCAAACACCGGAGTCGGTCCATGAGTGCGAAACGCACACCACCCTGGAGAGAGCACGAAACGACGTAAAGAATTCGGGGGGCAGAAACACGTGGAGAGAGCACATCTTTTGGAGGAGGAACAGAGAATTGAAGAATTCAAGATGCATGGCACTGCGGCGGGAGCGCACATGGACCACGGCGGAGGCAGAAACCTGAGACGAGTGCCGCAGCCAAACTATTTATTAGTCAATTACATTACATCTATAACATAGCTGTGGCGGTACGTAGCACGATTGTGGGCGACGGACATGCGCCGGACTGGGAAGGCCATCTGCGCCCCCGAAACACGCACGGCACGGTGACCGGGGAACAATCTCTAGGATGCCCAGTACCCTTATCCCTTTTTGTAGTCCTAGGTTCCTTATGAAGTTACCCAATACCAAAAAGGGAGCCCTTTTTATTCCTAGGTCACTGGGCATCCTAGATCTCGAAGGGTGCCAAATTTGGGGTTTTTCGACTCTTCAGAACGGCAGGATTTCGAGACCCCACGCTTTCCACCCAACAAAACACACCAACTTCCGCACGGTGCTGTTCGGAAAGGTGAATAAGTAATCGCTTGAAGTTCAAAACGCAAAACTGCAGGGTCTACAGCCATGGTCGACGTTTGTTCACGTTCAAGCTTCCTACATGAACTGTAGGCCTTATACGAGTGCTTTTGTGACTGTATGTAGTGCTCCTTGGGAATACTGGTAGACCTAGAGGCCCGGCTCACGTCATGGCAGTATGACAGAAACCACAGCGTGGCACGACCCCGAAACCCTACTAGATAGAGCTCGGAAAGTCCACTTGTTTAGACCCTTCCAGCGCTGCGTGCAATCCGAAATCCCATAGTCTAGGTAGACCTTTGGAAGACTTTATGGCTGTTTATGTTTCCTTTGTAGGCTCAAGAGGGTTTTGTTTACGAATTCGTATCAGGTGGCTGCAAGGGGGCAACCTAGCATGTTGTAGGATCTGTCAAATCTTGGATGAACCCTACACTTAGTTAGAAAGCTGCAAAGCCTTCTCCGCTTATGAAATCTGCCTCTCTTTAGTATTTACAAGCCGTAAGCCTTGAAACCAAAACAGTAAGCCCATACAGCAGAAACCACGAGTTGGAAGGAACATTGGCCCGAGCCCTACAACACAGGGAATGGAGCGTACTACGTCTTTTAGACAGATCGCATTTGATGGAACCTTCTGTGTGCAATATTAGCCCTCGAAGCAGAGGTATTTTTTCGACCCGAAATTCACTGGCCGCGAAGTGCAAGTGCAAGTTGGAGTCGCATCTTTGCACCTTGACTGGGTGTGGAGCAACTTGGAACCGCGGGCTTGAGAGGTGTCATACGGTATTTACACGAGCTTTAACAAGTTCCAAGAGGTTTCATAAGATTCAGGGCAGCGGATACGCTTTGGAGGCTCCGCAATTCATCCAGCAAGCGCTAGACCCATCCAGGCGTGGCAGGGTGTGCCTCGTGCCAGGAGCCTGAGTAATCTGTGTGGACGGACAGCTGTGACAGTAGTTTCATTAAAGCATCCAAGCACAGACTGCGACGACTGGTTTGGATTCATCAGCCTGGAAGCAGAAGGATTTCCTGAGCCGGCCCTGTGCACGGACTTGGAAGACGATTGGGCACCAGGATCGATCGCTTCCGGAACTGAGTTGCGGATGCAACAACGACGGTGTTGGAGCACAGAATAGACTCGTTTTGGTTGTAGGGCTCCATGCTGCGACGGCTGTAACACGACGCCCACAGCCGTTGCTGTACCCTCTTGAAGCTCGCCATGCAACAGACTGTCGTCGTCAGCTCAGGCTGCCAGGTGCGGGCGGTCGCCCCGTTAAAACCTTCTTCCATGCGGAACAACCAACTAAACCCTAGCAGGGCATTGCACTTCTTTGCAGGGAGCGGCAAGGTTAGTTGGCAGCTGCCGCCGTCCAACACTGCATCAGGAACCTTCTTACATAAGGGATGGAGGTTTAACATAATGTTTACATTTACGAATATGCTGCGTTGCTGCAGTGCTGATCTCAGCATTAATTTGCTCTTTTCGGTTGTTGCTCGGACCACTTGTTCCGAGCCAAGGCTTGCCTTAGGGCTCTGGTTGCTTAAACAATCCTAGATCATAGAATATGAATTCAGCAACTAAGTGGGGGTTTCCGAAAATAGGGGACCCTTAATATAGCACCCTAAATAATAGGATCCCTATTATCAGGACCAAAACACAAGGTCCCCCCAATTTTCGGAAACTCCCACGTGTAATCCAAAGTAGCCCATTTATTTAGGTATAGCATGAGGTCTAGGGCTCCTGTAGAGATGTGAGCACCCTTGCTTGGAAGGGCAGGGGACTTAGTAAGGGCTCTTAAAGGGCTCCTTAAAGGGATCTATAGGGTTCCTTAAAGGGGTCTACGGGGTTTAGGGTTTAGGGTCTACTTGGAAGGGCAGGGGACTTAGTAAGTAGGTTATAAGTAGAGTTACAAGTACCCTAAATGGAGTTACCCCAATTATAGCCCTACTTATAACCTACTTACTAAGTCCCCTGACCTTCCAAGTGTGTGGCAACAAAAGCTTTGACCATGGCAAAGGTTGGAGCTTAAAATCGGGGTTGTTGTCAATATTCGGGTTCCTTTTTGGATCCTTATTATATTACGGCACTTAACATTTAGGTTACCCAAAGAGGAGCAGCCATAATTTTGACAACCACCCATCTAAAAGCGGCTCAGGTGGATGTTTAGGGTTTAGGGCCCGGAAACTTTAAGATTTCCACATCTGGTCCTACAGAGGTACCTACTTTGGGGGACCCCAATTTACAACCCAGCTACCTCTGCACCGCTTAAAGCCAACCCAAGAGTATAGACCCTGAGCCTCAAGTGCCCTAAACCCCTGAAACCTAAATGGGAGATTCCGAAAATAGCCGACCCTGATATAGTACCTAAATAGTAGGATCCTGATTATAAGGACCTCCAAATAACAAGGTACCCCTAAATTTCGGAATCTCCCAAATCCTGAAAAACCCGAGGCAGACGTACAACCCATTGGCGACCAATCCGACCACTCTCTCACTCACCTGGACCTACGATGGCAGTATTCAGCTGCAGGGTACAGCAGGGTCGAGTTTCGCCTTTGGGACGCGCACTTGAGGGTTTAAGATTTCTAGGGTTTAGGATTTTTGGGGTTTGGGGCTTAGGGTTTTTTGGGTTTAGGGTTTTAGGATTTAGGGATTCGCGTCTTGGGGTTTAGGGGCATGTTTAGGGTTTAGGGTTTGGTAGTTGTTCGATTTTTCTTGGGATGACTCTTGTGAACAGTCGTGATTACTGGCGTTGGGCACTGTAGTACCAACACAAAAGAACCCGATGAGAACGAGGAGGATGACAGCGGACATCTTAGGACGAGATTTCTTTATCCACTGCCAGTGCAGACTTGCGAGAAGAGTGGTAGTGTTTATCAACGGTGGCACTTAAACTACGTAGAATACATACAACACTCAACAAGCACGAGATGGAACTCACATGGTGTGCTGAGGCAGACGACCCCTTCGATTCGTTGCCTGACTGCCCGGTCAGCTGAGTCGGAAGGTTCGGTGGGAATTGGCGATTCAAGGAGGACCGGAACTTCATCAGAGAGCTCGCCGGAGCAACACCGAGCACTGCCGTGGAGGCCGTGATCCACAAACCATGCTACGTGGATCAGGGGCCGACTGCCCATCTTCCGGAAGAGCCGCAGCAGACAATTTCTGTCTACAGTTGACGGTCATATTTAGGTCCAGAGCTTCGCGCCTTAAGGCTCGATGTTTGGACGTGAAAGCTTGCGGTTTCAAGCCACCAGCTTTCCGATGTTTTAAACGGTAGTTCCCAGCTAGTGCGGCTGCTGGATGCATATAGGGGCTTCGACAGGAGGACCCACTCCAGGGATCTGGAGATTCCGAGCTAAATACCACAGGCCCTATTCTAATTGAAGAAACTTTCCTAAAACCTAAAACCATGAAGCGCTACACCCTAAACCCCTAAACCCTCAAACCCCTGAACCCTGAACTCCACAACGCCAAAGCCCCCCTTGCCTCCCGTCGGCCTTGGATCTCAGAGCGCTGCTCTTCGCAATGGTAAAAAGTGCTCGGCATCCCTGACAAGTAGTAGAGTATGTGTGTATATGTCAGTTTCCGAAAATGAAGGGTACCTTATTTTGGGGTCCTTATAATAAGGATCCTACTATTTAGGGTACTATATTAGGGTCCCCTATTTTCGGAAACTCTCATATGTGTACATCTATGTATATGTATAGGTATGTGTATGTGTATGCATGTATATACATATGTATGTTATAACAGATTATAGTAGCAGGGTTCAGACTTTGCCTTTGTTTAGGGTTTGGGGTTCACAGGGCTGAGGGTCTTGGTCCTGATTTAAGGCCCATAGGGCCATAGGGTTCAGGGATAGCTTTTCTTCCCCGAGAGCCCAATACCCCTTAATTAAGGAATATACCTTAAATTATAAAGGGGATTCATATTATGATTTAAGGTAAATTCCTTAATTAAGGGGTATTGGGCTCTCTGGGTTGGTTTCGGGGTTACGGTGCGTCAATGTGAAACAAGCTCCAGGGATAGGTGAAAGGCTTCGGGCCCCCCTAAACCCCTATAAAAGTTTAGGATTTAGGGTTTAGCGGTTTAGGGTTTAGGATTTAGGGTTTAGCGGTTTAGGGTTTAGGATTTAGGGTTTAGGGGTTTAGGGTTTTGGGATTTAGGGTTTAGGGCCCATCTTAAGAGCAGTGTTTGTTCTTAGTGGGAGCCGCCTGCGGATTTTGGTTTTGCAGGTCTGGGTTCCATTTCAGGATCTTTGCTTCTTATTAGGGCCTACAAGACGTCGCTCTGATTTTCTAGACCCGCAACATGTCAGTGCAGTTTCTTGTTGTTTGTAATTGTTTGGCTGCCAAGGTACCCTGAATCAGCGCGTCGGCTATATTGGACCTGTTTGCGTTCGAGATTCGACTTTTCTGATCGGACATCTTTTGAATCTAATACCACCCCGTCCAAACACAGCCCCATCCAAAAAAAGCCTGCAACGCCGGCGACCAGACAACAGGTTATGCTTTGCAGGGGCTTTCTGTTGCAAGCAAGGCCTTGGGAAGATGTTTCGAAGGCATTAAGGCATTGCAGGGCATGTCGTTGCTGCAAGTTTCACTTCCTCGGGTTGGCTCCTAGGACGTTAATCTGTTTATTTCATATTTCTCTTTCCTGAGGCTGAAACTTTGAGGATGTTCAGCAATCAACCAAGATACCAAAAACCTTCGGGGGCGGGCCCTAACCCTCAAAGTAAGTCCTGCAGTGCTCCAAGAGTGCCCCGACGGCAGGCGAATGGGCCTGGGAGGCACGATCTATGCGAGCACTGGCCTGACTATCTATGCAGTTCTGTAACCTCATATTATGTGTGTATGTACATCTGTGTATATAACAGACACAATCGCTATGTTAATGTGTCTGCATACACATGTAATTATTGTGTAGTATTGTCTGGTCTTGTACCGTACTGTACTGCCCTGTACTGTACTGTACAGTACTGCATTATTATATATGGTACACATGTATGTACGCATGCATGCATTCACGTATGTTACTGTCGGCATACGTGTATACGGACGCTCACGTCTTAAACTGCTTTACATATTATTCATATGCTTTTCTGTGCGGTAATTATACTGTTTACATCGGCGTTTCTTGTGTTGTTGTCTATTCGTGTGTACTTGTTTTGTACCTTGCAAATAGTTTCTTGAACTTAATATCGCAATGCACTCATTGCAGGGAGAGTTCCGATCTCGTCTCTCGGCGTGGTTGCACTGTGTCTACATGTAGATGTAGGTATGCATCAGTATATATATATGTATATTTCTACAGAGAGGGAGTGTGTGTGTGTGTGTGTGTGTGTGTGCGCTCTTGTCCATGTATTTGTTTTTACTTTTCTTGAATCGTATTTGCCGTCATTCTAGTTCAAAATAAGGCATGCGAATTCAGTGTACACCATGGCAATGAAAGTGACCAGAGGTTCCAACGTGCACGCTTTGGCAGGCCTTCACACAAGCCGATGACTCTTTGATGCGCGATCCTTACATGGCTTCCCAAACAGATCGTTCCTCCCAAGGCCCCAAAGTGCAGAAATCCATAATTCCTCGATCTTGAACTAAACCCGCATCCTGAACAAGGATCTTTCCCCTTTCACACCCTATGCCCCTGACCGAACTCCTCAATCCCTGAAACTTAAACCGCTAAACTCTGCATCCCTAGATCTTCTCGCCCCTTCCGGAGATCACTAGATTCGACCGGTTGTGGAGCCGACTGTTTGGCATCTTGTTTAGGGTGTAGGGCTGATTTGGTTTAGAGATTGGGATCTTTTTTAATCTACCGGTAGGTCTGACAAGGGTTTGGGGTTCAGGACAACAGGATCTTGGCTGTTTGGGATTGGGGCAGGGCTTGACAGTGTAGGAAGACAGGCAATGAGCCCTGAGCTCTTGAAAATGTTTAGGGTTGAGGGTTTAGGGTGCAAGGCTGCGACACTTGTTGGGGCTTTCGGCGTGAGTTGAGGCTACCCAGCCCGAGACCATTTAGACATCGTCCACGTGCTCTGCACAGTACGCACAGTCTATGTAGCTGTCCTGATGTGTGATGTCGTTTGTTGCAGCCGCACTCTCGAGCATCTTCTTTTTGTCCTCAGATATACACTACACTCTGTGATGTGCAGCAACAGTTGCGTATCCATCATGTTCACTTCGTAGCTGATCGTCATGAAATTGGTGTTCAGGTTCTTCGAACTCTTTCCACACAATTCCACAAGATCCTGCTGTCTAGACTTACATCACGGCATAGCTGCTGAGGCACCATGTTCGGTCGTTCTTCTTGTGGTTAATCGCGTTCGGCGACATTTGCGTCTGGACCATGCTTGGTCAGTTGCATAATCCGTGCTTAACTCTTGGAAGATGTGTCAAACTTAGGGTCCCTACCCTAAATATTAGGTGCTGTATTACATTAAGGACCCAGAAAGGAACCTTTTTTGACAACCACCCATGTGGCGTTTAGGCTTTTAGGGACTCTCGGTTCCAGCTCGGATTTTTGTCTATGCGGATTGAGTCCCGAAAGTTTTGTGCGCAAAGGCTGCCGATGATGGAGAAGTATGAAGCTTGCCGCTGATGTTCTCAGCAGCAAGATGTCATAGGTGGCTCTTAAAGACGCCGCTGCAGGTTTAGGACCACTTGGAGGATCATGGGACTTTGTAAGTACCGTGTGCTTGCAGGTACCTTGCAATAGTTATTTGGGATTATGGGTAAGGATAAGTAAAGTTCCCCTAGTAATAACCCTGGCTACTAGGTCCGATGATCCTGTAAGTATTGATGTGCAGCAGAACGCCGAGCAGAGTTGCCTGTCGATATTCCGGCCAGGTTTCACCTCTGTTGTACTACACACGGTGACAGAGAGACTGCATGCCTTTATGCACCACCCGTATGGTGCAATTCAATAGAGTGCTCGATGAGCCTTGCTCCTGCGGCTGTGCCTTTGGGATTGACGAACAAACTTCCAGTGCCCTTTGCAACAATCTTTCCGGCTTCATGCAGATCCCCCAACCGTAAACCCTAAACCCTGAACCCCAAACCCGACCACAGAGGAAGCCGGGCTCCATGCACGGCCTTGCTTGCCCTGGGCTTGGCTGCATGTCTGGGGTTGAAAGTTGCGAGATCGAGCACACGAAAAGACAGAGAAGAAGATGATAGAAATAGAAAGGTCGAATTCAACTTTCTTGATGGATATCGGACACGAATCTTCACACCTCAAAGCTGGAATAAATACAGCCTTTCTTATCATAGTAATCGTATATTTACAACTCTACTGTATCAATTGAGCTTGAGATATGTCAGAGTTGATACAGGGAAAAACTAGTTGAAATTCAACGTGTGTCGGACTAGATTGCTGCGTCACGGCTTCAACAAAAAGTCTTTTTTTTGAGTTGCGGCATGTAAGTTGCGCAAGTTGCTAGGAAGGACCGATATTTCGAAAAAATCTCACTATCAAGTCATTGGTCTGATAATAAAAAGATAAATAAATATATACATGTATATATATGGTAGGCATGATTAATTTTGTTATTATCGTGGAGCATATAGGTTTTCGCTTCATTTCTCAAGAAATTTCATGGTGCCGACTACCCTATTCATAGGGAGATTAATTATATATCGTCTCTCTATCTCGTTCTCTCTCTCTTTATCTTTCTTCTCTCTCTGAATCTCTCTCTTTATTTCTCTCTTTCCGAATCTCTTCTTTATATTTCTCTTTCTTTATATCTCTATCTCTATATATCTCTCTATCTTTTTTTTCTTCTCTCTATTCTTTTTCTATTCTTCTTTTTATCTATCTCTCTATTTATATTTTTCTTCTTTTTCCTCTTATCTCTTTATATATTTCTTATTCTCTGGCTTTCGGCGATTATATATTATATAGGCGGATTTCTCGCCTGGATATAAGATATATATATATATATATTTAAATATTCTAAGATAAGATTTAAGAGGAAATATCGCGGAATATCATTTGT